GACACATAGATGAGCTGAGTCCCAGATGCTCCAGCTTGGTGGTGAGTGTGGAGGGAATTATGGTGTTAAGGACAAGGACAAGGACACAGGGGAAGCAAAAACAGAACCATGAATAATACTAAATCAAAAAATATAAATAAAAACAAGAAAAAAAAAACACTGGGTCACCGACCCAAGACCATGACAAATACCGCACAGGAAAGGATCACAACAATACGAACCAAAACCAGGGAGTTAACTTGAGAATATTGCTGAATGTCCAAAACATAAACTTTGGGTCTCTGACTCAAGGCCATGACAGAAGGGTTTTGTACATGACTACTAACATCAAAAATCCACAGGACACTAACTTAACTGATGGTATGCCTTAGAGCATGTTTTTATCATAGACCAATAAGAATTTTTCATTTCCTTTTGTAAGCATGTAAGCAAAAAACAGTCCTGTGATAAAGTGCGCCATGAAAGTTTGCAGTGTGCCAATCTTATGAGTCATTACTTGCTGCTCCACCCCTGCTGTAATGCTATCTTGGCTTACAGTGGAATCATCAGCTGTTTATGGAGCTGCAGTCGCATATTTCCTTTTTTATTGTGCTTGCATGTTTATAGCAGCTGAAAAGGTAAAGATCTAATTTCATTCAATTTGGCTGTAGCAGATTTCTGAGGTTTGCTTTGGTCCTGCAGTGACTCTGTGTCCAGTGTCGGCTCTGTTGGGGGAGAAGGCATTCACACATGGTCAGGAGTGTCTAGAGGAGGCTCCCGCGGTGGAAGCTCACTTCACAGCAGCCAGGGGGGCCGTCAGTCTGTTGCTGACACCATCAGCACCTACAGCTTACAGTAAGTCTGCTAACACAAGGTACTTCAAGCTGCAATGATAAATCACTTAGCTTGATTTTGATGAGCTAACTAGCTACGATAAGTGTTTCAAGTACTGTGTGACACTACTATTAACTACTGTCTTGATGCATGCTCCATCATTCAAGTAAGTAAATCTGAAAAAGTTGAAGTCACTTGGATGAATGAGGAAATGTTTCTCCCACTGAAGAGTGCTGGTGGTTGTCTGGAGCCTATCCCAGCTGTCTTAAGGCGAGAGGCAGGGTACACCCTGGACATAGACAACCATTCGCACTCTCATTCACACCTATGAGCAATTTAGGGTTTCCAATTAACCTATCCCCACTAACTGCACGTCTTATTAAGTAACATTTCAATCAAATATATTGTTTCTTACAGTTTTTGGTCAATTACAAAAAGTACCTTTGAAATCTCCTGATTTGTGCTCTACCACAGAAAATATTTGAATTCTTCAGAATCACAAAGATGATGTGTGGACATTCAGCTTAATGCTTTCATGTTGTGCTCAGAGTTTTTCAAAAAGCAAAAATGTTGAATGGATCAAATTGATTTGATATAATGCTCAGCCCTGTTTAGGCTGTTTAGTTGGACAGAGAATGTTTTTGATAATAAACACCCAATAGATGAAATGAGACAATATTTAGTTCTAGCCCTAGATGTCTGTGTATGTTAGCCAAACATATGGGCTGGTTTGTGGTTTAAACTGCTTCTTTTATCACTCTCTAGTTCTTGTGTGAATCCTGATGATGAGGGCTCTGAGGCTGGAGGCGTTGCTAGCAGATCTCTTGGTCGAGCCCCATCCTCCACAGCTCTGTCTGAATTGTTGGAAGGACTTCGTAAACGCAGAGCTGGCGGTGATGCAGGAGATGAAACTGGCAGTACCGTGTCTTTGGCGATTTATCAAACAACCGGAGCATCGACTCTCAGACGGAGAGCCTCGGCCCTCTCTCTCAGTCCAGAAGATGTCCAGGAGCCCAGACCTGGTCCCAGCATCCTGAAACCATCCTCCCCACTCCTGCCACGTTCTACCAAAACTCTCTCTGCAGCTGGAGGCAAAGTCTCTCGCTTTAACTCAGGTGATTCTCTCTCATCGCTTCCCTCATTGCCGCACCTCTCCTCACTTGCTGCTCGTCATCATGCTCCTTCCGTCTCCATCCCAGAGGAAGAGAAGTCGCTGCACTCTGTCACAACTCCCATCCAGCGCTCCCCTCTGGCAGCACGGCAGTGCATGGTGGGGAGCCTCATTCCAGAGGACGTAGGTGAAGGATCCCTAGGTTCAGAACCCATGGTCTTCCAAAATCGGCGTCTGCCTTTGGACCGTGACGACGCGGCCTCAGACATCTTGCCTGCAATCAGGAGAGCTCAGTCAACCAGCAGCCTGGCCAGCTCAGTCAGAGGAGGTAGGAGAGCACTAAGCGTCCACTTTGGAGAGCTGCCTCCCTCGAGCCACAGCAGGAAAAGCTCTGAATCAGAGTCCTCTAGCTCAGGTGGATCAGGACGAAGCTCCCAGGGTGGTGGGCTGAGACGCAGGTTTGAGAGGCCGCAGGGTGAGAGATTGGAAGCAGAGGGCAGCGAGGGGGGAGACGTGGCTTCACTCATGAAGAAATACCTGAAAAAGGAGACTGACTGAAGCAGATGTGCGGCAGTCTCAGGTGTGTAGATGGACAGCTACATGTAGGAACTGAGGGAACATTTGAAATAGTAAACAGTAGTTGCATCATATTGTTTTGATATCAGAGCCATTTTTTTCCACATGCATGTTAGTCAAATCCATCGTAGAAACCTTTTTAAAGCGGTTCTGTTATGCTTATTTGAAATGTTATTTTATTTTCTTATATTTTATTTTCTGAAAGTAGTTTTTTGTGATTCACAGTTCAACATAATCCTGTTTTTAGTCTCATACTTGGACTTGGTGCAACCCTTCAGTTAAGAAGCTGAGTTAGTTTTTCTTACAGACAGCCGACTGTAAACACCTTACAACCAAAAGATTTGAACAGCAAGCAGGTGGAGCTTCTGAGCAATGCATATGTAACAAAACCTTACTTTTTAACAACACAGACTGTAAATACAAGATGGACTTGGTCAAAGCAAAGCCTTCTTAACAGTGGTTGGTGCTCATGATCTTGATTTATGGAGCCACAAGTTGCCAAATTTGTATAATAGTGAATGCTGCGTGCATAAACTGTATTGCTACATGCACAAACACAGACAACTTCTAACTTCTTCAACTTCTGCTAATTAAGAAAATGCTACAATGTTTACCAGCAAACCTCAAGACCAATTTTCTTCAAGGAAGGTTTTTAACGAAACAGCAGGTCACATTTTTTATTGAAAATGCACCACTGAGCAATAATAGCGTAACTAGCAGTACATTTTGTGCTGTGTTGTATGTATCAATGTTAGTAAATCAGTTTGTGCGTTTTATTTAAATAGTCTACTGCTATATTTTGTATGTTTTGAGAGGAACTCCCAGAAATAGATCTAAAGCAGGGTCAGTTACAAACACCTCTTTCACAAAATCTTGTCACTGTGCTATCTTTGTAAATACTGTCAATACTTCTTTTAGACCCGTTTGTGGTGCCGCAGTTGGTTAGTAAATCTAGCCCTAAAATGGTAAATGTGGCAACCATTACACCTGCTGACAGCTGCTAAATACCTTTTTAGTAGGTGTCAGTGTGCAACTGTGTCAGGGCCAAGATGACAAACATTGTGGCATTGTGAAAGGTTTGAACTAGTACATACATGTTATAGCTGTCTTTACAGCTCTGCTTGGCTTTGGTGAATTGTAATGTGAGGTTCAGCACATTGTACACTTCCGTTTCAGGGAAAGCATAGTAGCAGAACATGGTGACAGCTGTGTGCAGAGTTTAATGTGAACGATGTTGCTGTAAACTGCAGGATTGGACTATACCAACTTCAAATGTGACAAATGTGTCATTATTTCATTTCATCTCATTTTTTTCATTTATTTATTTATTTCACACTTGGTACAACAGTTCAAACCAACCAACCACACTTTCTATCAATAAAGCACTGCAACCATGTGTGAAAAGGAGCAGGAAGAAGAAAATACTCTTATTAAACCCTGCCCCCTATCTACAATCGAACTTATATTACAAGTGGGCATCAAAAATCTGGGAACAAACTAAGATTTACATTTATCTCCGGTCCTAACTCAAACCAAACAACAAATTTACAATCAGAATATACCACTCCACATAGTAACAAGGAGAAAAATAAAATTAAAATAAATAAAACAAAAAATTATAATGGATCCTTTTTCAATGAACTCCAATTTCATTCACATTCTTCATATTGAGTTATCGTTTTAAGCATGTAACACTTTTTA